GACCGTTAGTGATATACTAAAACCGCTCCCCACTAGATAGAGTAACGACCATTTCACGACGATCATCATGTCGGTCATATAGCGGGGTGATAAGACATGCTTGATTTCGATGGACCCAAGTGGCTTAGGACCGTGTTTCGTGGCATTTGGCCCTTGGTGAGGCCTGAGCTTAGCAGTGGATTTGTAATGGTCCGTTATGTTAACAATAATAATAGCGATAATGATGATGGCTGTTTTTGTAAAGTAATTGAAAATGAATAATAGTAATTTTTTCCAAACCAAATTTCGGTCAATACAGCCAGTCTGCGTTTGGACATCTATCTAGGACAGGAATTATTTAATTTCATCATCATCATTATCATCAATACAGCCCTTCACAAGTTCACTGCTGAACATAGGCCTCCCCCAAGGTATACCACAAAGCACGGTCCTGAGCCACCTGCATCCATCGACTTCCTGCATGTCTTACCAGGTCGTCACTCCATCTAGTGGGGGGTCGCCCTATACTTCGCCTACCGGTACGAGGCTGCCACTCGAGAACCTTTTTTCCCCAACGGTTGTCGGTTCTTCTAGCTATATGGCCGGCCCATTGCCACTTCAGCTTGCTAATCCGTTGGGCTATATCGGTCACTCTGGTTTTACCGCGGATATCCTCATTTATAAGTTTATCACGCAGAGAAACTCCAAGCATAGCCCTCTCCATAGATCGCTGAGCGCCTTTGAGCGTCCTCATACGGTCAACAGTGAAGGACCACGTCTCGGTTCCGTAGGTCATCACTGGCAACACGCACTGGTTGTACAACTTATTTTTCAGGTTTTAAGGTATACCTGACGACAAGATGCGTCGTAATTTCCCGAACGCTGCCCAGCCGAGTTGAATCCGTCGATTGACCTCTCGGTCGAAGTTGGACTTACCTAGTCCCAGGTAAACGTACTCGTCAACAACTTCGAGCATAGTGCTCCCAACAAATACCGGCATAGGTGTGACATGGACATTAAACATAATCTTTGTTTTGTCCATGTTCATCTTAAGAGCTATCCGTTGGGAGGCACTATTGAGGTCATTGAGCATAGTGCTTAAGTCCTCCAGCGATTCTGCCACAAGGACTATATCGTCGGCAAATCGAAGGTGAGTGATGTACTCGCCATTGATGTTAATACCGTATCCTTTCCAGTCCAGTAGCTTGAAAACGTCTTCCAACGCAGCGGTGAAGAGTTTCGGGGATATAACGTTACCCTGTCTTACACCTCTCTGCAGTTGGATAGGTTTCGAGCTCTGGTTCTGTACTCGGATAGCCATCGTAGCCCTACTGTACAAACACTTCAGCACTTCGATATACCGACAGTCAACTTGGCACTACTGAAGGGACTGTAGCACCGCCCAAATTTCGACGGAATCAAAGGCTTTCTCATAGTCCACATACGCCAGGCAAAGTGGCAGATTTTACTCTTCGGTCTTCTGTACAATCTGCCGCAGCGTATATATGTGGTCTATGGTTCTGAAACCTTTTCGGAAACCGGCTTGTTCGGGAGGCTGGAAGTCGTCGAGTCTGCGTGCGAGACGATTCGTAATGACTCTCGAAAACAGCACGTAGACGCGGCTAAGAAGGGGAAATAGGTCTGTAGTTCTTCAAGAGAGCGTTGTCGCCTTTCTTAAAGAACGCACTTCTGCTCCACGCCTCTGGAGTAGTGCCACCATGGAGGACGGAATTGAAGAGCTTCTGAAGGATTTCAAGTACCGGTATTCCACCTGCTTTCAGAAGCTCCGCTGTAATTCCATCCTCGCCTGGGGCTCTGCCGTTTTTAAGGTGCTGGAGAGCCATTCTAATCTCGCTTAGACTGACGTCCGGGATATCATCGGAATAGAAAATACACCAATTGTTGTAGAAACTGCTTCTACGATCCTTAAGGCTGAAGTCTTAAAAATGGGTAAAGCTTTTACAATAAAAAAGGTAAATTGCGTACTAAGCTTCTGGTTTTTAAAGTACAGGAAGACACATCATCTTTTTATCAGAGCACTCTACTCTTCTTTGCGAGAAACCTGGTTAAGTTAAGTAATAGCATACAAGTTCTGCTGGACTGCATATGGCAATGTACGTAAGAAAGGACTAATTTTCGCCTATATTCACCATTAGAAGCGAGGAGCAGGTACAACAATTCAATTTAGAGAAATGACTAGCCGTTTTGTTATGTTTTTTCATACCTTATCTAAAATTTATGTCTTTGTTATATTTCTTTAATTTTTAGTTATTGTTAAAATTCTGTTTAATTATTTCAAAGCCGCCGAAAGACTTACCAGAACCGGATGTAAAAGCAACAGTACCGCGGTCAGTAAAGGCTACTTCGCCAACCAAACCAAACACGTCGCCGTCTAGGCTGCCGCTGTTCTCACGCTATGCACGACCGCCATTATCTAAAACTAACGCCAGCACACGACACTAAACAAGCAAACAGACGAAGATTTACTTCAAAAAAGCTACTGAACCCGCCATGAGGAATTCCCCATCGAACCACAGTTTGCAAAGCAACGATAGCGGGAAAACTATCGTCCTAGCTAGGGGGTCCAGACAGGGCAGCACTTCTAGTGTGAACTCTATCTCATCTCCCAAATCCCACAAAAAAGACGTAGAAAGCAAAATAGCGAACCTCTGGCGGAGGACTGACACCAAAAAAACAACGAAAACTGAAAAAGAAGGTATTGATAGATAGCGCTAAGACTGAACCGCCGAAACTCATAAGGAGTGCTCTATCAGTTCATATTCTTGCAAAAATAAATAAATTTTGCATATTTTACTTACACTTCTTGAATTTACACATAATTTAATAACACTATTATTTATACACAAAACACATTAAATACACTGTCAAGAATATACAATGTAAAAGATAAGTATATAGTTCAGCGTAACGGCATAAGTATAAATAAAACTACAAATATACTAGTAAATTAACCTTACGTATTTTATTCAGTATCAGAAAAGGTGTCTATATTGGGTAGAATATTAAATGAATGAAACCTTACAAAATATAGAAAAAATAGATACACAACTTAAAAATAGCACGTAATATTGAATGTAATACTCTATAGCTTGCTACCCATTTTCAAGTAAAACAAAATGACCGCACTATTACATCACTAAATATAAGAAGTATCAATAGTAACTTCAATGACTTTCTAATAACTTTACTTATGTAATAGCAACGACATAATTTCTTACAAATTTTAAATACTTTGCTGAGATCAAATGATATATTTATATATATGATTTTGATATGCTAGGTAAAATGGATATAGGCCTATAATTATTCACTTCCATCCGATCTCCACCCTTATGTACTGGAATAATAACAAATTGATTTAACAGGGCAGGGAATACCCCTTTATTAAAATAAAAGGTTGTCAAGGTGAGTTATAAAAGCAACGACATAATTTCTTACAAATTTTAAATACTTTGCTGAGATCAAATCATTTATTTATATTTATAAAGTAATACTTTGCTGAGATCAAATCATATATTTATATATATTTATATATATCATTTGATCTCAGCAAAGTATTTAAAATTTGTAAGAAATTATGTCGTTGCTATTATAACTCGCCTTGACAACCTTTTATATTAATAAAGGAGTATTCCCTGCCCTGTTAAATCAATTTGTTATTATTCCAGTACATAAGGGTGGAGATCGGATGGAAGTGAATAATTATAGGCCTATATCCATTTTACCTAGCATATCAAAATTTTTTGAAAAGCTTATGAATACTTGGTTAGTAAAATTTCTAAAAAAAATCATACTTTGTCTCCTTCCCAATATGAATTTAAAACGGGTAAATCCGCAGAAGATGCTGTAACTACCCTAAGCTCGCTAATAATTAAAGAAATTGATAACAAAATGAATGTTTAACAGTGTTTCTTGATATCAAAAAACCTTTGACACAGTCTCTATCCCTATCCTTGTGAATATACTAGAAAAGGTTGGTGTAAGAGGAACGCCATTAACTCATTTTAACCTCGCTACCTCTCAAATTGGAACAGTACTTCAGTAAAGATGTAGAAATGGTATACGGAGTCCCACAGGGAAGCTTATTGCGCTACTTTATTTATTATATACTTATATCAACGATCTCTGTAGCCTAAAACTGCATCGATCTTACGATGGCAGTAGTCGTCTTCTTTCTGGAAACTCCTGGCAAGCTATGAAAAATAGTGCCAAAAAAGGAATGGCACAAAAAGCTATTTGGTTAAAATGTGATCCTTTTTACCACTATGACATCCATTTTGAGCGCTTGCCATCACCTGATTTAGCTCGCTGTGGTTTACGGGCTCTGACCACAGGCCACGCCAGAATACGACAATGTCAACCTGATCCGGTATTGGGCCAACTCCACATACCTTTGGCTACTCTAATGATTTATAGAGTCTCTTCTGATCACTCTGGAAGAGACGATTCAGATTGAATCACCGTGACCTCTCGGTATATAGCCGAATCTGCTTCTCCTGAGCAGCGTTACTTTGCTTTAGGTGATCTATGCGCTCCGTTAGTTTCTGCGTGATATTCGGCTGGGACAAACTGATATTTGCCCCATCAAAGGCCATTCTAACGGTGCGCATAACTCTTGGTATTTTATTACCCGACCTGAAGCTTGTCAGTCTGCCGATGAGGGCCCTTGCCTTTGCGATATGGTCCTTAATTCTTTTTCTCCAGGCTTGGATGGCGCTACTTTGTCTAGTAGTGCGTCCAGCCATGGGAAGTTTGGCGCCAATAATGCGGCAAAGTGCCATTGTGGCGTCAAAAATAATTGAGTCCATTTCGCAAAGGTCCTGGCTGGCTTCCAAATAGGTCATCAGCATTGGGTTAAGAGCCCGCACGACAACCCGATTCCGCTTGCTTAGGGGTTGCTTAGTATGCGGGGAAGTAGTAGTCGATTTTCAAGAGGCGTACTGCGCGCTTCCGACATAGCCTCTTCCAATGCTCATTTTCTTTAGTTCATGGGAGACTATTCAATCATCGTCTGAATCAACCACAACTGGAATATTCACGGCAGCAACCACGTATGTAGGTTGCTCTGCTATTAGTGGCACTGCATTTCTAACCGTAGCAATTTCATCCGATAAGGGAACGGCTTTCATGTCGTAGTTGTTCGAGTACCGAACTCGGTCTGCCAGGTTTTGCTCAGTGACGGTTATGATGGCTCCAGCTCTGAAAAAGCGATGCATCCGATCCCAATACGCCAACCTTCCAGTTTCTTCTCCTATTGCCCTAAAGTACGCCCGCATGTGTTTGCGTTCATTATTTGCGATCAACGCATGTGACGTGCTCCACCAGCGCTTGCTTAGTCCGAGATAACCCAGCCAACACCATGTGGGGTTGTTGGATGCGGGGGGCAGCTAGATGGTCTTGCAGCGCTTCGCGCTCGGCTCGCGGCCCGCATGCTGTCACGTCCAGCGCCAGCTCCATACGCGCCCTAGCGACCTCCAGGCAGCGGCCTTTTACACACTATTTTTTGTCAACTATCCATAAAATAATCAACGGGGCGTCAATTAACGGGAGACGCCCAAGCTTGACACCGTATTATGTGCGGCCATAAGCACAAACGGGCCTTTTCACCCTCAATTCTGCCGAGGCACGGCGCTCACACCTCTTGGCAATACGCTGACCGACTGCGCTGACGTAGCAGTTTTGACGAGCGATGGGATCGTCAATTCCTTACGTTTATTTATTTATTATTATTTTAGAAACAAAGCATTCGTGATCATGACCACTAGATAAACAATTCAGTTAAAAAGAATAATATATACTATATCGATAATATCTGTTAATAAAATAAAATTTGACTAACTTATAAACTGAGTATTTGTGTATAGACTACTTAATAATAGTCACATTTAAGCAATTTATATTTAACAGTGCAGAAATAAGATTTTAACAGCGGAACTTGAATCAAGGGGTTATTTAAATGCAAAATAATGCAGTACAAAATTAATCAGCTCTACGAAATGCACTCAAATATTTTTACAGCACACGCCATTCGCGGTATCGCTAATTTTAACATTCATTCGGCGCCCAAGCGATTTACAGGTTTATAAAGTCGGCGCCTTAATTGCCTCATTAAAATGAAGTCGGCGGAGGCTGATGGGATGCGGTTGTACCGAAATGTAGCTGCCAAATGAAGACGATGAAGTATTATACTGACTTTACAACTGTTTAACTAGTTCCACGCAAAGAAATTCAAAAGTGGTGAACTTACTTTTTAATATTATTTTGAGTATCATTATCATCGTTGTTATTAAATTCCTTCTAAAATCTACTAAGCAAAATAGAATATAATATTTTTATTCAATATAGATCACACGTATTTGCCTTATTAAAAGTAATTTTTAATACAGTTGCTCAAAAAGTGGCGTATTGCAGGGACGTATAGCGTTCGGGATGTGGGCTATTACATACTCGAGCTTTTTCTTTACCTTTTCCGAACTCGTGCGTTCTCTTTCCCAACTGTCAAAATAATGTCTATTAAAAAGAAAAAAACAACCACAAAGTTTTTATTAAAAAAAATTCCTATCAGTTTTTATGATTCATGCAAATATTTCTAAAAAGAAGCTACTAATTAATTTCAATATCAGATTTAATGATTTGATTCAATGAGTTAGGTTAGGTTTCATTTCATTTCATGTCATTAAATTTCATTTTCATTTCATATCAATAAAAAATTCTACTGAAGACCTGGCTGTATGGGCATGGTTCCCTTTGCCTGGATGGAAAAAATCTCTGCTTATATTCTTTTACGGTTGGCGTCATTTTCCAAAAATTTTCTTTGGGACTTTAGTTTTGTTGCAAAAAATGAGTAGATTAATATTTTATTTGAATTAACACCACCGGAACTCAGTACAATTGCAAAAATCTACATACGACGAATTTATTGCTTGGAGAGAAGAGTAAAAAGCAAATAGTTTTTCAGAAAATGTTATGTTGGAATACTTCTCCGAACTCTCAGCAAAAATAAAACCTTCTACGTTATGATGGAGGTTTTCTATAGTAAAAAGTAAACTGAAAATAAGGGACAACGCGGATATAAGTGAATACCCAAAACTAAATGCTTTCTTTAAACGACAATCAGACGGATTTACAACTAAAAAGTCGAAAATATTAACATCATTAACACACAAAGGTAATTTATTAATAAATACTTATATGAAGGAGTTTGTTTTTGTTCGTCCCTTTTCCTAAAAACAAGAAGTTTTCAGGGGCGCGTCATATCGCACTTTATGGGCAATTAAACCGCTAGTTAACGAAGAACCGTTCGTCTTAATAAAAGTCAGAGTAACGCACCAATCGACCTCGACGTCGTGTGTAGTAATAAATTGATGGAGTAAGCTAATTGTTAAGGAAACCTAAGTAAGTTAAACAAAACAGAAATTTCATGTTTTAGCTCAATTTCATAGCATTTTTATAAAACTGAATTGACAATAGAACTAAGTGTCTACCTGATAATATGTGTCTACGGTAGGTCATGGTCTCCCGCAGCCAACTTTCAACAAAGAAAGTTATTATTATTAGCCCTCCAGACCAAATTTCAATGACGACGGCTAGTCTCTGTAGAGAAGCGATTAGTATCCAAGTGTATGCACGAGCACTGGTGCAGTCTATAAGTACTTTCAGAGACACGAGGGAGAAACACTGTCAAGTTCCTGATTTCGGGCTGCTACTAAGAATTTCTGACAGAAAAACCCAATAACCGAATTTTCCGGACCCGAGATTCGAACCCAGGACCTCAGGATCAGCAACCACGCTCACGACCACTAGACCAACGAGGCAGACAAAGAAAGCTATAGATGTGTCGTCACCTCTGTAGACTCATATGGAATGCCTCACACTCTGTAATTGTACTGGCTCCCATTACTATACCCTTCAGACAAGAACACTACAGTTCAAGCACTGGCATTCGCTAGCAGAAATGGGTGAGAGGGTGGTCTCTATCCAAACGGGCACCTACTAAGAATAGGACCGGCTGCCGCATAGTGAACGGATAAAAATAAAGATAGTGTCGTATAATGGTGGTATGTGGCCAAATGGTTGTTTCATTTCTTCCCATGGGTGTAGTGAAAAAGCTGTATAGGTATATATTTCTTAAGTGGTAGAACCATGCTGCAGTTTTATTAGTTGTATAGTTGCAGCACAAATGGGTCGGCTCGACCGAGGAAGGACCACGCTGTCACAGAGTACCAGCGTAAAATAGCAGCTTAATGCTGCCGTGTTTTGTATCGAGAACCGGAGACTTTCTTTATTGGAAACGAGGCATTCCATCTTAGTCCTCACGGGTGACAACGCATCTGCGTTTTGATTCGTAATCGAGGATAGATGTAGATGTCTATGGGCCACATCAACCACTTACCATCAGGTGGACTGTGTGCTCGTTTGTCTCCTATAAAAAAATATAGGTACGAGGGCGGCACTGAAAATTTCGGGAATCAAGGAAGTGACACAACATTACTATTTAAAAATGTATTTATTGCTTTTCGAAGTATTCTCCGCGAAATTTGACACATTTTTCTATACGATGGAACCAATCATTGAAGCAACCATTCCATTCGGAAGTTGAGGTCTCCAAAATGGCCGTTTTGTAGGCGTCCACAGCTTCTTCAGGTGATGAAAATCTCTGTCCACGCAATTTATTCTTTATTTTAGGGAAAGTATAGAAATCATAAGGGCTTAGGTCGGGGCTGTACGGTGGATGGTTTAATAATTCTATGTTTTCTTTCTCTAAAAACTCTTTTGTTCTGTGTGCGGTGTGAGAACTCGCATTGCCGTGATGGAGGATGATGCGGCGGTTGCAGTTCTCTTTACGGAGTTCAGAAACGACCTGTGGCAAACAAATGCTTGCATACCATTCTGCATTAACCGTTCTTTGTCCCTCAAGAGGAATAGTCGTAACATGGCCGGTTTTGGAGACAAACGTGGCCACAATTTTTTTGCAACACTCCGTGAACGAACAATTTTTGTTGGCTTTAACTCATTTTCGAACACCCAAACTCGTGACTGGTTTTTTGTTTCGGGTTTGTACGCATATATCCAGGATTCGTCACCTAATACGATGTTGTATACAGCATTTGAGGATCCTGTGTGGAATCTTTCGAGAGTTCTGACGCACCAAGTAACGCGAGCCGCTTTTTGCTCTTCACAGAGCGAATGCGGTATCCATCGGGAAAACAACTTTTTTACACCTAATTAGTAGCTATCACACGCCGTAAAAGCTACAACGAAGTGTTCATGCAAGATTATTTGTATTTGACACATGCCAATGTCTAAAGTTGCCAGAATTTCGCGGTATGTCACATGTCGATCTTCCTCAATCAGCTTACGTACAGCATCAACGTTTTTTTGGGTGACTGCAGTTTTTGGGCGACCTTGACGGGGATCATCACTGAGCTTGACACGTCCACGTTGAAATTCAGCATACCAGCGATAAATTGTGGTTTTAGATGGGGCTTCATCACCAAATGCAGAAATCATCCGGTCACTGTTTTTGTGTTAAACCACTTCGAAAGTCATAATTAATCATCGCTCTCGAATTTTCTCAAATCAATTCCATTTTCTCAGCGACTAGTGCCCTACACCGAGAATATTTTTTTAATTAAATAAATGGAATTCGATTTTTAAAACCAAGGAGTTTTCAATTAAAAAAGATTTTAATATGACAATGAACAGTGGAAATATTCCATTCCCGATACTTTTAATGCAGCCTAGGTATTGCCAGAAATATTTTATGGATTCTATTTTTCAGTGGTATAACCATCACGTATACTGATGTTAAAATGACACACAAGAAAAGGTCACAATAGCGAGACGTACTCTTCGTATAAACAAAGTTGCGATCGTGAGGCGATTATGTCAAATTTTTTCTACAAATCTGCTTTGCGTTATTCGTGAATAATTTTCGCAGTCGCGAAGCACTATCTAGACTGGTGCGGGGTGGTCAGAAAGAGAAAGAAGGAGATGATGAAAATATAATCTATTTTATAGTTAACTAAGTTACTATTGATCAGCCCGCTCTTTAATAATCTAAGAATATTTCTCGCGGACCACGACCTCTTAGAATAAAACAAATTACACGGATTTTATGGCGCTTAGTTAAAGAAAAATTTAATTCCGACCATTTGGGCCATAGTATCACGACACCCTTTACTTTTCACATATTGTGACGGGCAACTACGGAACA